ACTTGGTACATAAGTGCTCTAGGACAATAGACAGCCTGATTAATTTTGGGTTAAAATCTGTTCATATTAATTCTCTAATTAGCATAATAATTAATATTATTTTGGTTCTAATCACATTTCAATGAAACTTGGTACTTTGTGCAGACTTTATTAGTTTTACACTTAAATCTGTTCATATTAGTTACCTAATTTGCATAATTAGTTTTCTGCGTTTCCATCAACATCTCAAGTTCAAGTAATTTTGAATTAATTTTTAATGTGTCTCCAATACTCTCAGCACACGGGAGTTCTTTCTAAGCTTTCTTTGATTTTGAATATGGCTTCACTATTAAATACAACTCTGTCCTGTATCTCACAATTTCAAGGATTTATTTGGGCGACACCCTTGAATAACCTCTTTCAATGAGCTAAGATAAGGTCAATTACATGTACTGTCATAAGTACAGTAAAGTACCAATGTTTGTATACAATGTAGCTAGGATATAGCCTTGGGCAGAGTTCCAAGACACCAGCACACACAAAAAATGGACTTTGTTCTTTTGTACATGCATACCTTGACAATAGCCAGTGACTTGTTGGTAAGCACAGACAATAACATTGGCTAAAACTTGTGGCATGTGTAATTTTTATTTATTGCGCACTTTTTTAGTGACAGAAATAACTTTGTTTAATCGTAATGTTTACATTATTAATGGATGAAGTTTGGAATTTTGAATACTAAAATGTAAATTTTGAATAAGTATATAAAATGGCAGCCCACATAATTTATTTAAATGTTGGTGAGCCAGACTAATTGTAGCTATGGACTAATAGATCACTGTATGGGTTGTACTAAGATTCATGCACTGTGATAAGGTCATTGTGTATGGGTTGTACTAAGATTCATGCACTGTGATAAGGTCATTGTGTATGGGTTGTACTGTGGCGCATGCACAAACTACCCAACATTGCTAACTTTTAGATTCCATAGTAAATGTACACATACATGTTCTCAATAAATGGTGTCAAAATATTGAAAAGAAATTAGGCTACTGGACAGCCTTGAAAAGCTGACAAAAACTTAATGAAAATTCCTCTGGGAAAAGTCCTTCCTAGTTTTTGGTGTTCATAGTTTTGATCTTTAACTAAATTATGTGATAGATATTATGTGATAATACAATGTTCCCCACTTGATGAAATTAGTTTATCCTGTAATTAATTCAGTTTACGGCAATTCTCATTGGTTGCATGGCCATGTAATCTCATTTGAAAATATTTTAATTTTAAATTGTTCCTTATATTAAGCTGATGACAGATGTTAGTTACTACTAATATTATTAAAATATACTGACAGTACTTGATAATAATAAGATGAACAGCCAATATACATGTATGAGCTATTGAAAGTATATCACTTCTTGTATGTCTTGGTATTTGTATAAATGTTGTATTGCATAGAAATGAAGCTGCTAATTATGTAGTCAGTCTTATTCTTGTTAATAACTTATATATAATATATTGCATTGACCTTTAGATGACCTGGTAATCTTATAATACTAAAAGGAAACTAATAATCATTGCAATAGTTTTTATGATATTCTGCTAAAACATAGACCCTAAAGGCGAAGGATAGGAAACTGAGCCAAAGTAAGCCCAGATAATATTCATGTTTCTGATATTGTACAGTTTAAAATGTGCTTGTAACAACATTAGAAGGTTTGTAGTCATCAAGAAAAAACAAGTCCACATTAATTTGGAAATTTCTCAATGCCATTATTGGAGTACCAAAAATGAAAATGATACTGGACAATTTTTTGAGAAACGAAAGACAGAAATGTCATTTAAAATTGGTATTCAGTTTCAGTTATTTCTTCATATTTCAAAATTGTGCTTGGTGACATAAAAAGTTGTATATGAATATGAATGATAATGTTAATATAATAAGTTTTCAATATGTGATATCTTATCATTAATGACAGTTCCATAATGCATGACTTATATGTGCAGTAGCATGCACAGGAGTAAAAAAACTGCTTTGAATTTAAAATATTTTATCATAATTCTAGGTTTTAAGTGCTTTATAGCTGAGAAATATTAAAAAAAAATATTTCAATTTTTTTAATTACATTGCTACATGTATAGTCCATGTCGATATTGTGCAAAAGTTGTGTATATGCATTTCTACACATGCTATATATTTGTCCTTTGGCAGAAATTGAGATGTTTTTTCATCGCATAACATAATTCATAATTAACATGGATTGTTGTGTCCATTGAATTATTCCATGCTAAATGTTTGTCTTTTAGTACTAACTTCATTTTCTCTGTTCTTGTTTTTTCAAACTATCCCAGATGACTACGGTAATTACATTGTACATAGCCGTATGTACTATAGATGCATTATTATATCCACTAATACATGACCTACATGTATCCACTAATTTTAATACGCATGAAGTTATACAATTACAATGAAACTTGTTGTTTAATTGAAAAATATGTGAATTTAAAACTTAATATGTGAAGTGAAATTAAAGATCAGTTAAAATTAATCCTGTTTACAGTACATTGACAATTATTTGCTTACAGTAAATATGTACATTAAAGGTGTAACTTTACATCCAAGCTGGCTGCTATCAGCAAGCTTTGTCTTTTCATAGAAAATTGAGTAACATTGTCATCAATATTTTTTTGTTGTATTTACCAATGTTACTAAGGACATATTTAGACAGTTCAAATACATGTATATGTGCATGTAGGTGGTGTTATCATAATCTGTATGTGTATAGGTTGATGGTATATTATCATAATTTTCATATTCTTTTTATGTGAATCTATCTGTGATGTAGTTGTGTGCATGTCCATGATCTCTCATAACTAACTAGTCATCTCATGTACACAGTAAAATGTCAAGTGGTATAGGGATGACATTACAATAGTAAAGAGTAAACCTGCTGGTCAACAATAATCCAAATATCAAGCGTTCTGTGGATACCATTGTTGTATTCAAAGTTGGCAAACACTGATTGTTCTGAACAATGAAATTGCAGGTTTTCATGTTGCCTATATACCCTTGCTATCCAAACAGTTCATATGATTGATGTGCATGTAATAGTAATGTACCGTACTTGTTCGACTAAACGTCCAGAAATCATGTATTTTAAGGGGTTCGGCACTTAGCCGAGCAGCCCCCTTGAAACTTATGCAAATGACAAATTTAGTTCGCCATGGAGAATATTTACCTCCCTTTATGATGAATAAAATTGTGAAATGGTTACAAAAAAATATGCATATTTTATGCTACAATAGTTGTAGCATCAGAATTTACAATGTAAAAATTATTAGGGTCGTGGGGGAAAACAAAGTCCAAGTTGTTAAATGTGATGGTACACAAACTCTCAAGGCAAAGCAATTTCCCCCATGTTATTTTCTGGCACAGTTTGACCTGATAGGTTAAGTCTGTTATTAACCAATGAGAATGCAGTGTTGTACCGATGCAATTCTCTGGGAATACCAAATGGCAATCTGGTAACTTGATAGTGAAGTACTATTCGCAATTATAAATTTTTGAAAGGTAGACTGAATATGGAATGAAGTAATTACCACTTTTTATGGTTGTTAACAGGTGTTTGTTGAAGTGTAGTTTATGCATGGCTACTGTGGTCTATGCATTGGCACGATATTCATGACAGTCAATATCCATGCTGTATTATATAAATTTGAAAAGTTAAACAATGCTAAAGACAAGGTTTTACGACTAGACAGTCAATTTTGGAACATTTTGGAATGGATTGGCATTCAGCAAAAACCCTGAAAATAATAATGTCCCAAAAGTAGGGGGGGGGGGCTACTAAGTCGAACAAGTATGGTGTGTATCTAAATGACAATAGTGTGCATTGTCTAGAATATACATACTTATATTGCAGAATTGTATACATGTAGATGATTGTCACCATTTTTGGATCATGAATCCTGCTAAATTGACCCTTAATTTTAAATATATGAAATGTACACCAGCAGAGTGCTGCACGTTGCCTCTGTTCATGTGATTTTCATGGGTATATTGATGAATGATTCTAAATTGAATTTTGAGAAGATGGGGTTACTGGGTACATGTACATCAAAAATACATCTGAAAAAAAAAATGTTTCTCTGATTCTCCATTTTCTCAGAGAATCTAAGGAAAGTTTGTAAAAAATGAGGGTTAGATGAACACTGACTGGTATTTTCTGGATGCATTTTTTTTCAAAATTTCAATGAGTTTAAGGTATTTTTGGTGTCAAAATTAAAACTAGCAATAAGATTGAATGTAAATTTAAAATATTTATTCTTCATGGGTCGTGTAATATACATAAAGGAAACTGCATGATAAAGTTATTCCGAAATGTAGTTTAAGTCCTGATATAAATATTTTTGTACTTTCAGTTCCTTCAGCAAGGTCACGTCCAAGTGTACTTGTATCCCGTCCAGTGCAGAATGGAGCAGATCTTCCTTCAATTCCATCAGTACAAGCAATCAAGAAAGAAAATCCAGCATGTAGGTTGTTTACTCTATTTCCTCTGTAAGGATGTGATGAGATTGATGAAACTTATTTTTTCCCATTGGGACTATGTTTTACATTCACATATACAAATGTTGTTGATATTTGCTTTAGTAGTACATGTGTATGCCACTAAAAATTGTCGTGAGATGAGGGTACTGACTCAGTGTCTCTTTCCTAGACTCCCAAATCTAAATGCTTTTACTATATTGCATTTCTTCTGTAGCACAAAGGTACTAACTTATATATCCAATATTTATCATTACAGCTAGAAGACGTTCTAATTGTGTTAAAGAAATAGAAAAACTTGAAAAGAACCGTAAGGAGAGGAGGATGAGAGCACAGGAGTTATTACAGCAAAAACAAACTGTATGTGTTTGTTAAAATTGTTTTCATATCATATCTCTGCTGTCTTTGTATTTTGTTTTACACACTTCATGTCTGGTTGTTTGATTACAGGATCCGGATGCAGATAATCCAAACTATGATACTTTGATGATGATTAGAGAATTTCAGGCTGATTTAGAATACAGACCTATATCAAATGATGATGTAGTAAGTATTCAAAACTGTAATTTATGTGTTTTTGTATAAACCTTTAATAACATTAGTGCAATTCATAGATTGTGTCTGCACATCAAAAATTGTATCTTCACATCCCAAATTACAATTTGTATATACAAAACAGCAAATCTATGTTGCTTGTAACTTGAAGTTTAACTGTTAAATTAAAGTTTGATTTACTTAAATGTGGACATTCAGAAATGTATATTGCCCGTAACTCTGTTAACTGTTAATTGAACATAGACTTACAATTTGAATGTGGACTCTTAAAAGTGGGCGTGGTTTCTAAAATATAGGCATGGTAATTTTTGTAACTTGATGGTTTTCATAACTCACACAATTGAGCATCTTCTATGACAATGATGTACCTAATTCATGGTTTTCAGAGTTCATCCACCAGTATAAGTAAGCAGTCCAGAAAATTACAATGTATTGTGAACTCAAGCAAATGATCAGCATATTGAGTAAGAATGGGTGAAGCAGAGTAAGCAGCAAACCACTTTACAACTTGGTGATAGCCATGACAAAATTCTTTGTTGTAAGCCATGCATCATGACATAGGATGATTTGAATTACATGACACTGTTGTAAGCTGATGATATAATTTTATTTATTTCAGATCGAAGACCATCAGATAACTGTGTGTGTTAGAAAAAGGCCTTTGAACAAAAAAGGTATTTGGGTTCAGCTATGCTATATATTTACGTTTTAAAAGCGACTTTCCTCTTTGTACAGTAAATTCTCTGCTTACACTGACAATGTATGTTTTTTATTGTTGTTTACAGAGTCTAATAGAAAAGAGCTGGATGTAGTCACTGTGCCTAACAAAGACAATGTCCTCGTCCATGAACCTAAAACAAAAGTAGATCTAACCAAATATTTAGATAATCAGAATTTTCGATTTGATTATTCATTTGATGAGAACTCAACCAATGAGATGGTATACAGGTGAGTGTTACAATTTATACCCATTTCATGAGTACATGCAGTGTTTTCTCCAGCTTTGTGTTTTTGAGGGGGATTGTCGCCACTTCAGATCAAATAGTTGCTTGGCTCATCGCCTTCAACACGCGCACCCCAGAAATTCAATGCAGGCTATTCCAATTTTCATATACGCATATCTGAAGAAGGTTATGTTTTAAAATATATGGCCACACCATTTTAAACAAAATACATGAGAGGATGATTTGTTATTTGTATCAGCAAGTTAGTTGTCCCAATACACACACAGGCCACCATTAAAAGAATTCAATGGGCAGTGAGGAATGGCTGATTTTCACCCCAAGAGTATTTTTTTAAGGATGCACAATTGGGCGTCATAGAGAAAATGCTGCATACATGTACCTATTTTTAGTTTTCTGACTTGACTCATCAGTCATTTGCACAACTAACACATTATTGGTTACTCATCATTACCATATTTCTTCTATTAGAAGCACTTCTTCAATATGTAACACGTACAAACCTAAATGTTGATTTAATGCCTTTGATATTTTGAGAATTGAAAACCTTTGTAAATTTCCATAAGCACATGGTGCTACTAATCAGGGATAGACCATTATAACCTCTTGGGGGTGGGTGGGGATGATAGCAAAAGTTGAAATAAAAAAACAAATTCTGCACACATATTTCTTGGGGGGGGGATATTACTCACCGGGGAAATTCATCATTCATGAATTCATCATTGAAAACAAAATTAACAGTTATAGTAGGCTTTCAGTGTCTTATCCATTTCATTTTGACTTGTGTTGGATATTTGACATATTTAATATTTGGTTTATTTGTCAATAAATATATTATATTGAGAGATTTTAATATTATAATTGATGAACATAACCAAATAAGATTGTGTTATCATCAAAGTGTGGTAGTCGTCCCACAATCCAATGTGCTCTTCAAATTCAAGAAATCACAAGAATGAGGTTTGACCTTGGCGCGACTTGCACTGATTACCGCACGATACGAGGTTTTACCCAGAATTCAACACGTTCTGTACCAACGCATATTGCTATGCGCAGAACTGAAAATTCTGGAATCGTTCTGCGCAAAAACAGTTTTTAGCTCGTGAGTTGTTTCCAGGTTCGCCTTCCATGTGCTTATCGTGCGATTTATTGTACCAATATAACATTTTCCGGACGTATTCCTACACAATCATGCCAAAAGCATCCAAATCACATCCAATCAGCACTAGGCAGTAGGTGAAAAGTTGTCTGGATTTGGTGAGAGTGCCATTTGGCAATTACGATTAATTAAAGATAAAGCATTTGCCAAATCAGTATTATCTGTATCATTTTTCAAGGAAGCCATTACATCAGATATTCTGCCTCCTTCTGTTAAATTGGCTTTATTAGCAGCACCATCTTCCCAGAAATTAGATCAGACTACAGATGACACTAAATTATGGAATGATTCTGAAGCAGAACACATATTTATCCATCTAGGGGGCGGTCTATCTGAAACTGACTATGATGGTTTAGAGAAATCTCTGAGAACACAAGAATTCCCAGATTAACCACTTTGAGAAATAATTTGAAACGATTCCACAA